TATTATTATTATTATTATTATTATTATGCTTTACAACACAGGCGGTGGAAAACGAGAATTGAAGAACAAAAAGGTGAAGTACATGCATAGACTGTGCTGATGGACTGAAGGCATAAGCCAGCAGCCAGATAAAACAACAACAAACGCAAAACATTACAAACTAACATTAAAATGCATTTTGACTGGTAATTGAGAACACTTGGGGCATGGACACAGATAGTGATATGAACACATATTGTTTGAATCGAAGTTGGACATGAAATGATCCCAGAAATATGCTCGTAACTTGGATTTTATTGCAGAAGGAGAAAGAGTTATATCGAAGAAAGGTAAGGAGTTCCATAGACGAGGAATCCGATTGAAATAAAAGTTCCTTTCATAGTTACTTCTACCGAGGGGGTGTTTCAGCTTGTAACTATGGCCAGCTCTAGTAGAATGACTACAGAACTGGACAAACTCGTGTATATTGAAATGGCCGGATGGAACTTTACAGACTTGACCAGAAACATAATGTCAACAATTTCAAACTCCATCATCAGGGGCAACAGATTAAGGTATATTAGTCGATTCCTGTAGTCCAAGAGAGGGTTGCTGACGATGAATTTGGTTGCCCTTCTCTGGACATACTCGAGATATTTATATCCACTAAAAGGTATGGGTGCCATACAGAAGAACAGTAAAGAAGCTGGGAACGAACAAGAGAAATGTACAAAGAGCGTTTTGCTGGTACCGACACAGAGCTGGAGAAAACTCTCCGTAGAAGACCTAACATTTTGTAGGCCCTAGAATTACGTGTACATCTGGTTACAAACCACAAACCACACCCAACACTAGACATGTAGGTACATAGATGCTCATGTACATTGTACACTGAAGCTGCATGTGTCCAATGAACAATGCTTAGCTAAAGATATAGCACTGGCTTCACTATCACCCTTCGAATCATGTCATTACAACAATCATAATGTAAACTCGATGTTGTTGTTGACAAACGTAATGATTACTAACTCACTCTTGAGGTATGTCTCCTCCACCTCACGTGCTGCTCTCTCTCCCTCCTCACCCCCAACTCCATCCTCCAGTAGGTCTCCTAACGTGTTCCCAGGTAGGACAGGGGTGACCGGCCAGCCATGTAGTGATCAATTCTCGTTTCGCCTCCTCATCATCATCAAACTTTCCTACTATCTCATCATGCTGGCTCTCTGGCATGTCAAGATAGTGTAGGAATCCCACTCCTCCACAGTGGGACATGGCGTGTGACTTGTAGGATGTTGGCTGGAGTCAGGCTGGGGTCTGGAGGAGTGAGAGAGGGAGAATATTCAGTGACTATTGTTTCCTATCACAAATGTATAGGCAAGGTTAGGTATGAATATTAATACACACAGCTGCTAAAATTAGTAACATCCATAGTACACAGAGGTATGCTTCGTTGAACATGCATGAAGACATGATTGACACAGTGAATGTGTTAGTCCACATGTAATGGTCCAGTGCATGACACACAGTTTTAGCTGACTCTCAAGTGCAGGTCTTTGGGGAGGGGATCAGGGAGGGCAGTACACACAAGTACAATGTACATGTGTGAGTGTAGGCCAATACAGGACAGTGTGTGGAACTGTGTACTACCTGTGTTCCTAACACATAAAGTACAAGTAGTACATGTAAACATGTGAGTGTATAATTAACCCTCGGCGCGCATGCGCAGCGAGGGTTACGGTAGTTGTCCTGTAAGTGTGTCTGTCTGTCTGTTACCACGTTTTCTGCCACAGTGCGCACGAAATCAGGTAAATAGCGATATGATCGGGTTCAGTGCTACACTGGGTTGATTTTAAAAAAGGCGATTTTCGTAAAACTACTGCGTTCTAAAGTTATGGCGTGAAAACCAAGTGAACAAGCCAATATGTAAATTAGCACAGGCTTACCTCGACCGCGTCCGTTCGCTCTGTGTGTCTTGAAGGCACAACAAGTCATAACGAAGGGCATGTATCGACTCCTGCATGCTATTTACTACTGTAGCTAGCCCGTGTCAGACTCTCCGCGAGTTACTAGCGGGATACCACGAATAAAGGCATAAAAAGCCCAGCCCATCAATTAGTGGTACCGCACATGCGCAGTTCGCCGAGGGTTTGCACTTTAGTGCTTTTCATTGTTACTAGAAGGAATGCAAGCATACTAGATGACATTCTTGGTGAGTGAAGTGAGCATTTCAATATTTCACATGTTTTAGCACTGAATATTATGGTATGTAGTGGCGAGTGAATCAATATTTCACATGTTTAATGCTAAACATTACAGTATGTGGGTCTGTTCACCAGATAAATATATAATATGGTAAAATTCCTCATTCAGACGCCTATGTAGGTGGGCTCGCTTCACTCCCCAATTAATTGGTGAGTGAGTGTGAGAATCACGTAGAACATTGGTATGCAGTGTCCCATCACTCACTGACTCACATTCATTCAGACGACTAGGTAGGCTCACTTCGCTCGTCAATTACATACCAATAAATTGGTGAATATATAAAAAGCAAGGAGACAAGACAGGGATGACCTAGTGTATGTGATGCAGTAGTATATACAATAAATGAGGGCTACATATTATTTCAAAATGACATTGCTCACTCATGTACATTTTCCTCCACACTTTACACCATAAAAGTGGCGACAATAAAGGGCTTGTGTGGAGGAAAATGTACATGAGCGGCAACGTCAGTTTGAAATATGTAGCCATCATCTATTGTACTACTGCACTAGGTCATCCCTGTCTTGTCTCCTTGCTTTTTAACCATCCCTATATTCACCATTTTTTCAATTTGAAGAATTTTCAAGTGTACATTTTTATTACATACCAGTCACAGTCTGTACGTGAGGTTTGGCAATCCCCACAGCCTTTGTTTCTCCTGCTGTATAGAGATGCAGGATAAGTCTTTCCAGCTGGGATCATGATGATAGAGAGCGTAGTACTTCCCAGCCTCAGCAGTGACTTGATCACGATCACTGAACTTCTCACGGAAGAGAGCAGCCCTGGCATCTGGTACTGTAGTGTAGCATGCAATCTCCCCCCAGTCTCCAGATATGGCAGTAAAGACTGGTATGAGGAGGTGTGGATTGAGGGATGGATCTGAGGAGAGGACCAGCCACTGTCATCAATTCTATTCCCAAACCTAATCATATTAAATATAGGTTATACTGCGCGTCAATGGAAATACGCGATTTAGACGGCACGAGGGGCCCTGAGCTGTAGCTGTCTGAGCGCAGCGAAGACGCTACTAAGGGCTCCGAGGGCCGTCTAAATCGTGTATTTCCATTGACAAGCAGTATAACCTGTTTGTTAGACGGAGGACGTGCCGGCCTTCAAAATCGTCCAGGTCCGCCGTCTCCGAAAGACTCGCTCTTGCCGGGGGAAGCTAAAAAGGTCTCAGTTTAGTTTCTTTTTGCATCATAGAGAGGCCTTTCATCGAAGAAGCATCGGTATTATAGCGAGTTTGAAGTCGTCGCGGCGAGCTCTCACGACAGACAGAGCAGTTTCTTTGCGCGGAAGCTTGCCACACCCCCATCGAAGACGCCATTTTTTGGCGGGCGTCTCCATGGAAACACGCACTTGGAAAATACGGGATTTAGAATCCACGTTTTACGCAATCTGATTGGTCAATTTGAATCTGCTGACGTCTAAAGTTATTTATGCTGGCAAAATGAACACTTCTCTAGTCACTAGAAAAACCCTGAGATTACACCAGAAGCAATCTCAGAGCATTAAAAATTTCCTGGGGGAGCATGCCTCCAGAACCCCCTACTTGCCGTGTGCTTTAAACACACGGATACAGCTTTGCCCCCCTTTAGTTCACAATTTTTGCCCCCTCCCCCCAGGGTTTGCAGATTATCAACGAAGGCCTGCACATATGAGCATAGGCCTAGTGGAAATATTGGTACATAATTTTCAGAAAACAGCTTTGCTTTATTTCACAATTACTCATTTTGCCTCCCCACCCCCCTTGGATCGACTTCTAAATGAACCCCTGATGATGTACACACAGCTCATGCTGTGGTGGGTTTCAATATAGCCAGAGGTATACAATTGACTGGCTGTGTTGTGTTCTCTATTGTAGCCATACCTGCTGGGGGCTCTGCATACTCCATCAATGAGTCTGCTAGAGCTGTGTCTCCAATCAGTCCAGCCAGAATATCATCTTTCTCATTTTCATTGGATCTGTACTCTGTACATAGTACTCTACTGCACTGTCAACATCTCTCTTATCATCAGGGATGGAGAGACGGTTGCAGAGGTCACTGAGGTCTACTGGTGTTCTCAAAGACCTTCCTGAGTGCGGCTTTACTTGGAGGGAGTGCTGCGAGGAAAGACAATGACATCATCACTAACTAACACAACTTCATCGAACATTTACAAGATTTTTCGATACGGCTCGTGATGACGTCATACAAAACTAAAAGTACGTCATCTCTCTCAACCTATCAGACAATACCATCATCATCATTCACTGGGCAGTCATAACCTAACAGTTATCATTTTATTTCCTCTGTGTGGGGTGCGCGGCTCGCGGCGACTGTCTTACGTTTCTTCCACGTCCAGACTTGGTCCCCTCCTCCAGTAGCCATCTCTGAGTCACGTGAGCTGCTTCTGGCCGGCTGTACTACTGTGTCGTCAGTGGTCGACCTCGTCGATCGAAAGCGGGCCTTGAAAACTGTCGGAAACGCTGGGCGAAGAACAAAACCCAGACGAGAAATGAGCACAGGGCGTGGCTGCTAGAATCACGTGATTTGTTAACAAAAATGTGCGCACGCGCAATAAAAAAATTTTAGACAATAGGAAGTCATGAAGATGAGGAGGAGGAGGAGGGGAGAGAGTTTTGGTCAGTCTCAGTTGTGGGACTACTGGCTTTGCTCATACCGTCCAGTACCTTGTTCACCAGCTGGGAGAGGAGAGGAGAGAGAGAGAGAGAGGAGAGAGAGAGGAGAGAGAGAGAGAGAGAGAGAGGAGAGAGAGAGAGAGAGAGAGAGAGAGAGAGAGAGAGAGAGAGAGCAAGAGAGGGGGGAGAAAGGTACAGAGAAAAAAGGGAGATTATGAACGGGGAGTATTAAGGCATGCACAAATGAGCCTAGCTCTAGTCGAAACATTGGTACATAATTTCTGGGAAAAAAACTGATTGGATGAATGTGAATACAAGCAACCAACTGAATTTTCATCATCTGGGTCATTTTTGGGACCTAACTGACTCAGATATATAGAGAAGAGGAGGAGAGGGGAATGGAGGAGGAAAAGAGAGAGAGACACAAAAATTGTCTCTTTACTGTTATATTTTTAACACAGGTATGGGAGAGCCTCAAAACACCTACTATTGGTGAACCAACCTGAAAGAGGACGTTTCCAGTGACAAAGTCATTATCGACGAGGTTGACGAGGTAGTAGGTGTTCTGGATGTGAGAGATGATGTGGTGGGAGGTGGACTCGGGGCTGTAGAGACTGGCCCAGTGGGTCCCCCACAACATGAAGGCCTCGTCCTAAAGGAGGGAGACACCATCAGTAACATCTTGTAATGGTAAAAAGAAAAGGCTCGATGTCTCAAGAAAGTCGCAGAAAAAAGCAGATTGCAAAATTCCGTAGAAGACGGGAGAACGGTAAAACAGAGGAACAGCAGGAAATTCACAGAAATAATGAGAAAGAGAAATGTTTGAAACAACAACAGCAAAATGAGAACGAAAAAAGAAGTGATTTGTGGCTATACCTTCCAAATATGGAAGCTGACAGGGTCGACGACCGTGGGTTGTATGATCTCCATGCCAGGGAAAACCCCCCAGGTGACCGCTATTGGCTGGTAGGAGTCGCAGTTTGTCATGTTTTCCGTTCCCTGGGAAGGAGAAGAGGGTGGAGGGATTTGAACAGCTATATATACTGCAGTGGCTATAGTCGAAAAAAAACATTTCGCTTCAGTTTCTCTAAAGGCAGTAGCAGACGTCGTACCTGGTGTGCTAAAAACTGAAATTCACTTTTGCAGTTGAGTAACAATCGCGATGCTCTCTTGTCGACAGAGTCTTTAGTTGTGTGGTATGTACCTGTCTGTTGACAAAATTATGGTAGTTGACTTGAGGATAGTCCTACCTCATGGTTTACTCCGGACACCCTCCCCCATCGTCCTACCCCGTTTTCCCCACCCCGGGGTCTGTGGTACCCCAACCCTACCCCTACCTCCCCTCGTCCTCCCACATGGATTTCCCCTCGTTCCCTTAGTCTTTAGTTGTGTGGTATATATACCTGTCTGTTGACAATGTGGTAGTTGACTTGAGGATAGTCCACCAGGACCGTCATTAGCGCTCTCATGAACGACGGACTACAGAAGAACTCCAGATATGCCTGTAAGTAGAGAAAAAGAGGGAGGGGGAGAGAAGGGTTATTTTGTGGCATTGAAGAGGAGTCTTGCATGTCAAGACATTATTAATCCTTGGGAGAGTTTCCACCACATTCAAATGGACAACAAGCAGAGAATGATATAATTATACACTTGTTGCTCAACGATCAACATGTAAATCAGGGGAGAGGGGTCCTTGATTCTGGGGTTCAGATTGCGGGGGTCTTAATTTCAGGGGTCCTAATCGCAGGGTTCAGGTCTGATTCAAATTCAGGTGGCCAACCAATCAGAGGTTTACATGTACATACCACTACTCTATACAACACACACACTACATCAGAAGCTGGAGAAGTGAATTTGCTCAGTGAGGTGTCCTGATTACCTCAAATGAGGTAAGTACACACACATACCTTTTGATAGACGAAGCCTCCCTTCTCCCCCCAGCCGACCACGGGATCAGAGGAGCTGCGGCCGTTGACTGCAGGCTGGCTGTTGATCGTGAGGACTCCGCGTCGGTTGATGGCCGCCAGCTGCTGAGTCAGCAGAGACGTCTCCATGGCGAGCTCGTCGTCATTCCACGGGAGACTGGTCACCTGACAGGAAGTGATGTCAGCAATTAAAACCAGGATATGTACTGGGTTCTTCATTCTTTCACACAACACTTTTGTGCTAATAAATAATTCCCAGTTATAGATTCTCATTGTCTAAAAAGAGGGACAAGGAAAAGCCTTGTGTCCGTGTGGTTCCCTAAGATTTGAGTAATTGCGCAATATCCTCCTGTCCCCCTCCCGAAATGAACCCCTTCCCCCCACACCTTGACTCCGTTCTTGTTCTTGTTGCCGGTGAGGTAACACTCAAAGACATGGAACACGTCCTCGGGGCAGTTCAGCTCCTCCCCCCACATGACCCGCAGTCGCTCCGGTTTCCAGCGGGTCCGCAGGTAGAACAAGTGGTAGTCGGCCAGCTCTCCGAACGCCGGGGAGGACGAGTTGCCCCAGCGACCGTTGGGAAAATCATCCCATTCTTTGGTTCTGGAGAGATACATGTGTTCATAAGGTATGTACACACATTACTTCACCAAACAACAGATCGACCAAGGTTAGCCCAATTTTCAACAGTCACTCCTAAAAACTATTTTCCACTGCACTCTCCAGCTATAGTCAAGGTATTCAGAATGGTTAGTTGGTCTGTCCTTCCCCCCACTTGCTTGTTAAAAGTACAAACAATTTAGGCCACCCTATATTTCACTGCACTCTCCAGCTATAGTCTATATAATTATATACAATACCTGTGTATGTAGCTCTTGGGTCTCTGGGCCCAGAAGATTGGTCTGACGTCTTCGGCACACCTCTTGTGACTGGCTGGAGCTTTCCATGGCAACGTCTTCAGTGACAGCGGGTCATCACACCACATACCTTGGAGGGGGAGGAGGAATATAGATATATAAGTATAAGTGGAGAGTTGCTTGTTCGTCGTTAGGAATAATTAGAAAATAAAAATTAGAGATTAGAGAGATAGACATAGATTAGAGAATATAATGCTTAGAATATAGTAGAAAATAGTGTAGGAGAATGAGATATAGAAAATTAGTATTAATCTAGATAATTAATAGAGATTAGTAGAGCTAATAAAAAAACAGGGCGGAAAATGATGCGAGAGAACACGAGAAGAGAGGGGCGAGAGAGCGAATGGAGAGAGCCCAGTCGGTGCACTTGCGTCCCTAATTGCAGAGAAAAAGTAACAAAACGAGAGGAATAAAAACTGAAGAAGACGAAGAGAGAAGGATCGGAAGAGAGAGCACAGACATTCAAGTCGGTAACTACAGAGAAACGAGGGCGCGAGATAAAAGAGAGAAGAGAAGGTGGCAGTAAATTGTGACGCAGGGAGAGCAAGTAGAGGATGAGAGTAATATTGTCGAAGAGAGATTATAGGAGAGGAGATATCAAGAGAATCGAGAATGAGTTAGAGCAGTATTCATGACTGAGAGATTGAAATGTAGAATTAGAGGAGAAATAAGAAATTAGAGAATATAGAGAGAGAAAAAAATTCGAATAGATATAGATGTTAGAAATAGAGAAAGTTAGAGTTAGAGAGTAGATAGAGAGAGAGAAGGAAAAAGAGTTAGCAGATGATTGTAGAGCGAACAACGACGAGTAGCTACAGCCAGAAAAGATTACGGATGAGAGAGGCTTGACGACTGCATGCGCAACAAGCAAAAGGAATAGAAAAAGAGAGAGAGATGTAAGGGTAGGGAGAGAAGGCAGAAGCTAACCCAAGACATGGGCCAGATGTAGCTCTGCTCACTCACCCATCTTTTGCCTTCCACTTTAATCGCTGGGCCCGCGTGCCGACGTGCTTTTTTTTATTTTCTTAAATAGAGTATAAGAGGAGCACGAGGGGAAAGAGAGAGTTGTGGTGTTAGAGAGGAAAGGTTGAGCAAGATAGCGGAAAGATGAAAGAGGATAGAAAGGAGAGTGAAACTGCTATAGTGGAAGAAATGTGAACATACTAGTTCAGTAAGGATTGAAATAGTGGCGACCTCTCGATTCAGAGTATAGAAATGTAGACCATTCACCTGTACATAAGGAGAGACAGAGAGAGAGAGGTAAATAAGTGAAGAAATAGAGAAATACATCTCCCCAGTCCAGAGTTTGAGTAGCTCTTTGCACATGTTGACGGCAAAAACTGATGCCAACTTTTGGATCGCGCGCGTCGTCATCTTTGATGGGTAAGATGGCGTCCATGATGTTTCGAGTACTCTCCAGTTTCGATAGCTTGCTCCGATTGTGCAGACTCATGTAGCCTATTGTGTGTATCTAGAGTACACTTGTACTATAGCGTGACGAGCAAGAAATTGCAAGAATACCACCTGTTTCTGTTGGCACAAAATGTTTCTTTGAAACTCGAGACAGGTGTGTAACTGACGAGACACAGTGACAGGTACCTACATACGTCATGTGGCAAAATTTCGAAAGGGACAGATATTTACCTGAATTTCAAGAGAAATTTTGAGTGTCAGTTTCGAGGGCATACATACAAAGCTTTTCAGGTACGTAGACACGCAAATACTGTTGTGGATAGACAATTAACAACTATTCGAGTACATGAATGGGCAGTATTCTGGCCAATTTTCCCATGATTGGGGAACATGAAAGATGGGTAAATGGGGGAAAAGTAATCCCAATCCTCCTGCAGTCATGGTAGAACTTGTGAAAGTGAGGCCCTCGAAGAAGAGGCGTCCGAGATGACAATTGCGCCACGCGTCCACATTCTCATTCAGATTGTTGAATATACCTATACGTAGGTGGCGCTAGTCAGGGTGACTGTGGGGAAACTGGAATTTTACCAGGGAACCAACGTATTAAAGAACGCAAAAAAAACTGTAGGTTTCTTCCTATCATTTTGTGCAAGAATTATACAAGGAAAAAACCTGGACATGATGTTGCCGATCCTCGTGAAATGGGCAAAAAAACACAAATCGCTGGCATCTTAGGTACCCAGTGAAATGGGGGAAAACATGTAGATGGTTGCCGTATAATAAAATTAATGGCAAAAAAAAAAAATCGTGGGCTGCTTGCCTACCTAACTTGTAATGGGAAAAACATTAGGATTGATGGGTGGGGGTTACACAAAAAATGGTTGGCTGCTTCTTAGCACAGAAACTGTGAAATGGGCAAAAAAAAAACTTCGTTAGCTTTGCAATACTCCGAAATGAAACTAACGTTGTAAGTACTTGAGAATGGTGGGAAAACTTGTAGGCTGTTCCAACGGCAAAAACACTCACGTCTCCTTGACGAATCGATTAACGTGCAACAAAAAACTCGTAGGCATTCTGTGATGAATGCAAATAAAGCGAAGGCTATTTGGGTC